CTACAACTAACGTGAAAAGTGACTGACAATATTTGCACATTGGCATAGATGCATGTCGTCCTAACGACTCTGTGGAATCAACGCAACCTGGCGTATATGAGCGGGATCATGTGACTAATCGAGTAGGCAGATACATTGTTGGTGTACGAGAGCGTCCATAGTGTCTGGGACACTTGGCATGATTTCAAGCTAGGTCACCAAGAAAACATTACAAGTGTCTACTGAACCATTTTCCATCCAGCCTTGATTTTACTATAGTGCTAGAACTGAGAGACGGGAGCCTGGGAACAATTCAACATAAGACATTATCTTAACTAAAATCCAATTCCATACTAACGTGCATTTAGTAGTGCTACAACGATCAAAGGAGACAACACTTACCACTGGAGACCAGCGCAGAAGAGCGCTTCTTGCCCAATCTGGCCATCTGTCCGAATAACTGTCGCACTTTCCGCGTCCCCCGATTTGAGCATTTTAACAAGGCAGTCGAGGTTGCGTATGCCATCGCCAGTCAGTGAATTCTGACGGGCAAGCTGTTTGGCCACATTCAAACGCCCCAACATCGATCGACATGTAGTCTGGCACAAAATCGATTCACGACATTTGAAGTGCCTGATATTCTCACAGGCGAAGCAAAGTGACTTGAAAAAGCCTAGAAGGGCGAGAATTTAATCATGATATTGGAACTTTATCCATAGATATGTGGGACCCATTTTTCTGTGTAATTTTATGTTGGGCTGCGATGCCGTGGGCAGACAACGTCCGAAGTTAGGTTCGAATCGACCCAGCATCTTCTCAGCGATTCCGATCAATTGACATTATTGTAGTGACCCCCTCAATGTAATAATTATTATGCATCGCAACCAGTTCAGTGCAATTGCGGTGAGCAGTTTCTCCGATTACTAGAACAGCAAACATATTCACCGCCCCAAAATACTCTCCTCCTGTGCTGACGGATATATTAAGTTTCAATGCAAAGATGTGAAGCATAACATCCTCCTTATTTATTCAAAAGACAACTCAGTTGACAGAAATATTAGTGAACGATGGAAATGATATATCATGCGTGTGTAGTTTGTGAAGATTATTGCCGCAAATTATCCTGTGCCCGGCCGCAGGGCAATGAATTGATGAGTATAGAGTGGTAAACAGTGAAATTCGACAGGGTATGTCGGCTGGGTTCATAGCCTTACAGGCGAAGCAAAGTGACTTTAAAAAATCCTAGGAAGGCGAGAAGTTAACCATTTAACCGTGGGATCCATTGTCCTGCATTTTTTTATGTTGGTTTGCGATGTGGTAGGTATACAACGTCCGAAGTAAGGTTTGAATTGACCCCGTCTTCTAACAGCAAATCTGACTAATTGACATTAGCTTAGTGACCGCATTAATGCAATAATGATTATGCATCACATGCGGTTCATAAGAAATGCGATGAGCAGTTTCTCCGATTACTAGATCAGCCAACAATTCAAGCCCCCCAAAATACTGTCCTACTCTGGTGTCGGATACAGAAAGTGTTAATGAAAAAATATGAAGCATAACATCCTCCTTATTTATTCAAATGGCAATTCACTCGACTGAAGGGTAGTCAACGATGAA